GTTGTACCCTTGTAGGATACCTTACTAACATAAAGAATTCCAGAAGAGATAGAAGTGAAAAGTTTAAGCTGTTATTTTAATATCTCAATATTTTTGTATATATAAATCAATATCTCGCTTTTTAAACGTTTAATTAGGTGCAAACACGATCGTTATTTATTACATTGCTTTTGGCTTAAAATTGTATAATATTGTTATTTTCTTAATTATAACTTTGTCATTGTATGAGAATTATTATTGTTGTTGTTGCTGCTGTTGTTATATTTCGATAATAATAAGTAAATAGGATAAATACTAGGTTGGAGAGACGAACACATTTTCCGATATTTTTTCTTATTTTTAGTTGTTTTTCTTCTGATGTGAATGACTTATCATTCAATAATTTATAATTATATGTTCGAATTGACCAAATAAATGATTCTAGCACTAAACAAAAAGACTCACTTTAAGCCACGTGAAGTTCGCACAATACTTGCAGTAATTTTAATTCTTTATTTAGTGGGTTCTCTTTTTAAAATTCTAAAATATTATTTGGTCTTATTTCAAACTTATAAGTTTATTTATCATTATCGGTATTTATAATAATATTATTAATATTTGGCTGGCTCCACGAGAGCCCCATTCGTTCTCCTGACTTCTGTTGCGACATATTTAACCTATGTCAAAAGATAACTTGGTATCGTCCTCGTGATTTTCCGATACGGACGGAACTTGAACTGGCTCTGTGGTTTTATCTACCACACTACCTATGAGATAATGTCGTAAAATAATGACACAATTTTGATGTAATCACGCACATGTTTCACAGCCGGTGGACGAGAACAAGGCAAACAGAAAAGAAATTTTGAAAGAGAAAGGAAGGGGTGGTGCTTATAATTAACCATTATAATTAATAAAATTAACCAGGTGATTGGTGTCGTGTCTTGCAACGTAATATTTTCATGACTTACGCATAATTAAAGAAGTGGAAAGGGTCCATTTTACCCCCCCCCCCCCACACTCCTCCACCCGATCCAGACCATACTACGCGTACATGTCATTTCCATTTTTGAAAATCGTGTCTGAAATTTTGTTCTCAAGATGATTATAAGAAAAACTGATGATAACAGAGCGATAGGCAGCCCAGTCGATAGTACATGTCGTACATACGGACTGAGTCTCTGCTGAATATCTCATATTTGGCAAAGGCAACGCACAAGGGGATGTTGTATTAAAAAGACTTCTTGAGCTGGTTCAGGCCTACCAAACTACCAGACTCGGCACCTAGGGATCCAGAATAAACCGGTTTATCAGACCACACTACCCGTTTTCAAGGTGTGTGTCAGATCGCATTACAGAGTATCAGCCACCACACCGATTTTGCCTGGTGCGCGATGTGATAGCGATGATCCTAAGCGGGGTTGGAAAGAAGTGCATCTCATCTAGATTCATGCGCTGCTGCAGTTTTCCCTGTTTATGCTAAAATCTGACAATACCGCAATTTTTAACATAAAATTTAGGTTAGGACATAGCCAATGATGTTTTGTAAATAAGAACTTGCAAACTTATATATTAATTTAGAAAAGCAGACCTAATTTTGATAGCGGAAGCATATTCTGTCGGGGGTTAAATATTTTCATGACTACCGGGATGGACGAGATTGAGGGCAGGGGTAATCCTAGAGAGGGGTGAGAAACGTCCATTGTTCTTGTCAGCGAGGCAGACGTATGTACGCACAGACAGAAAACCATGTATTGTGGGAACGTTACTAATGAAGCCACTGGTAGTACTAGTAGATATCAGTCTGTAGTCTAGAACAAGCACCTCGTTGACGAGTGAAGTTGTCAAAAACAAAAGACCCAGGTGTGGTAGATCGACTACTGTTCGCGCGTGCCGAAGACCAAGCCTAATTGCCCCTCAAGGTCACATCCTAATATCCGGTGCTGACGGTTAGGCTCGTCATAATCATATAAGTAGCGCGTTTCCACCCCCTGATTGAGGGAGTCGTCTGTCGCCATGTTGTTGTATTCATACGACTCCTACTTGAAGAAGACGAGGCGCGATGACCGGATGACAGGTAGGCTTACAAAATTTGTGATGGGGTATGATACTCTGTAATGCGCTCTGACACACACCTTGAAAACGGGTAGTGTGGTCTGATATACCGGTTTATTCTGGATCCGTAGGTGCCGAGTCTGGTAGTTGGTTAGGCCTGTGGTTGACATTTAAGTAGAACTAGATATCGAGGGCTGCAAAACAGATAACAGATAACATAATCTCAAATTTTGTATGGGGACCTTGGTATACCGGGGGGTGGGGGGTGGGGGGGGGGAGGTCCAAAGAGATGCATTTTAAATTAACATTTTCTATTGGGACAATTTTCCCTAGATCTGTATAAAAGACGAGCAAGTTTTGTGTGGTGTAAGTTTAATTTTTATCCCTCATATCATTTTACGATCACAACTCAATACGCTGAATCACTTTGGCTTCTCGAACACTGTTCAACATGTCATGAGAAATTTTCCTGATCTCCGTTTGAATATTATTCTTGCCAACTTCAATGGTTTGGAAATTTTTGACATAGACACTGTCTTTACATGCCGATATCCCACAGAAAGCAATCGAAATAAATGGGGTCAGTCTGGAGCATGTGCATGGGTAGTCCATACGCAGGCCTACCCAACTACCAGACTCGGCACCGAATGATCCTGAATTCACCGGTAGATCAGACCACACTACCCGTTTTCAAGGTGTGTGTCAGGTCGCATTACACAGTATCATACCCTGAACAAATTTTGAGTGGTGATGCAATGCTTTTCAACCCCGCTGAGAATCGTCACTATCACATCGCGTACTAGGCAAGAGCGGTGTCGCGTCTGATACTGTAGGCCTGATACGATGGGGGACCTAAATTTTGTTAACCCCCTTTACACTGGACGGCGTCCATTCTGCGTCCTTTTTCGATAACTGAAACTGGCATCGCTGCAGTCGTAGAAAGGAGGCACACGCATAGCTTTGGTTGTAGAATAAATGCTTAATGATTGGCCAGTAGTCGTCACTTAAAGTATTATAATTTTTTCACTCTCAAACGGGTCTGTACTACGTATACGGGACGCAGAAAGGACGCCGTCCAGTGTAAAGGGGGCTATACAGACTACTAGCGATGACAAGGACTGGGTTCCCATCTCTAGATCGATCTAACAGGATCGGTCCATCTCCATGGGGTCCCTCGCTAAATTGCTTTCAGCCCAAGCGGCTTAGATGTCTGGGACGCCCACTAAAGCTGCTAAACGATAGTTAATTACCCTCTACAGCCTCAGCATGCGTGACAGTCATCTAAGCCGCTCAAGTTAATTGCGAGAATCCCCTCGGAGATAGTTCGATCCAAAGTTAGTACGATAGTCTCTGGGAATGGTCTCTAGGGGCACCCTGTGATCATTACAGCAGACGGAAGGGGAAACTAAATGTGGTAGTTGAGACAATGTCTGTGCAAAAATGCGCACAACTTTTGACGCAATCACACTCACGTTTCACAGCTGGTTGAAGAGAATGTAATTATTGTACGAGGGAAGAAAGGAAATTACATTAGGAGCTGGGCAAAACATTTAGAAAAAACAAATGAAAGATATAATTTAAAAAAAAAACTGTCAGCGATTTATGATGACAAACATCACGTATTCAAACATCACGTATTTGAGGCAAAGGTATACCTTTAAATTTGGCTTAAAGAAGTGGGCCGGGGCGCCCCCCCCCCCCCCCCGCCCCCTAGCCCTGGCTTCCCGTGCTATGGACTGACGTGTTTGAAAAAAGTAACTAGACTCAGACGATTTCACATGGATTCGATCACGATCAGATTACATTTATATGCTATTTCTTTATTTGAACTTCCCGTCAGTATAGTGAGGGATAGTTAAAACTACAGAGCGAGTTCCAATTCCGATGGCATTAAAAAGACACGTGATCAAAATCGGGTTTTCTTTTGATAACGAGTAAAAAGACAAGTATGATTCAACAGAAGTCACGAGAAAGAATGCAGACCCTTGAAGGTCACCATTTGCAAAAGAAAAGATAAATAGATTTTTGAATAAGTAATCAATGAGAAACAAATAATTGAAAAAGAGATAAAACTAAAAAGTATTATAGATTGAAAAAGATTGAGAACCCACTCAATAAAAATTTTTAACTACTTCAGAAAAATTTGACAAACTACACTAGCTAAAGTGACTCATATATTTAGTGCCGCAATCGTTTAATTCATCAATACAAACACAGAATTATAATAACTGGCTAAATGAGAAAAACATTCATATTATTGTTAAAGGACAGTTTTAACTTTTCACTTCCATCTGTTCTGGCATAGTTTGTGTCATAATGATATTCTAAAACAGCATTCTCAATTTGTATATAACTCAAAGAAGGGTATGTCTAAAGGGTATGTCCAAACCCACGCCCACATTCACGCACCCGCACACGTGCGCATGCTGTCTTCTGTAGTTTCTGCACAGTGAACTTAGTGAATTTTTTCCCTTCTTCTTTGACGTGTCAATAATATCCGGGCAACACAAATGTCCATTTCAAACATGTACCCATATGTTATGTACACTTCAAGTGTAACATCCTTCGTTTTGATCAACTTTTCACAATGAATTACGAATAAATTTATAAATACACTACCCAAGAAGCCTAACTACTTGGTGTCATTGTCTTGGCTTGATGTAAAAAGCAACACCATAACCAAAGGAATTAACTGATGAAAGCCGGTCAACTCTGATATTGAATTTGTCAAATCTTATGCTTTTCTATGCTGATGCCATTAGGAAAAACAATGACATTCACAATATGGCAAGCAACAACATATAAAGTAAGAATGAAATACGGGGTGTTTTCTCCCTCCCTTGCATTTAAGCGATTCGGGAATTCATTAGAATTCATTCAGCATGGATATTTCAGTCAGATATCGAATGAGTTCAATTTCATTGTCATTGTATGCTAGTTCCACGTGGAATGTTTAGTCACGCTTTCTAAATAATGGTGCAGCTATCGGATTCACGGCGTCTTGCCTGGCGATTCCTTGCACTCAGTCCCTGAATGCGGCTTTCGAAACTCTTAATCGGGTTGATGAAATTTTTCTCAATCCACGACATCTTGAAACACATGATTTCTTTCACGCGTTTACGCTCACCACCGATCATGATGCTGTCGGTGACAACGAAGGTGTGGTTCACGGCGCTGAGCTCGTAAAACTCGTTACCGGAATCTCCACACATTTCGTCGCTATGGAAAATGCATTTGTTGATCAATTCATCGGGGCTGATGAGGAGGCAGAGAATCAGTAATTGGTTGGTTTCGTCTTCTGACAAGCGCCAGTGGTTTTCATAATCCCTTAGACGCCGGATTTCCCCGGAGCTGTCCAAGTTTAGCACGTTGCAAATGCAGTCAAGATAGTACATCAGCTTGGCTTTGGGGTTGTTTGGGACGGTAACTGTCGTACCAGTCTTCTTCAACCCAATCTGGAGTCTTCCCATTGCAGCCGCCATTTCTTATATAGCCAGTAGTCTCTTTTAAATTCGTTAAAATGTCTTTTTAAATGTTAGCGACAGTTTACACCCAAGCAGACGCATCAAAGTCAGAACCGAGAATGCGGAAAAATATTAGACGCAATAACATAAATACGGGCTCAATCCAGGGTCTTTCCTGACATCATAGATATAAATAGATCTGAAAACGAAACTAGCAAAAAGTTTAGTATCGATTCAGCACAATTTCCACTATGTAAAGGCCTTAGACATATCAAATCTACGTCATTCAAGCTTAAACATAAAAGCGATCAAATGACACATTAAAGTTTTCACAATTTATTTCTCAATTCTTTATATCTTGTCGATTAATTTAAATTTAGGCTATATTTGAATTTTTCAATGTAGGTTATGAGTCGGCTCAAACGACTTATGTTCAGCTCAACAGTGTCGATTGCAATTAAGTCGGCGTTTACAAAGCATGTCAGCAGAGAGGTCTACTACTGTATTGGTAGGTTTGTTGCGTTAGGGCCCATTTAGCCTCAAAATATATCTTGTATAGATTACAAGTAGACTAGGTATATCATGTATAGGCCTGACTATAGTGGTAACCAATGTTTTATTCAGTGTGCAACTCGGCGTAAATCGACCTGCTTAAAGGTCATGTTTACTGTAGTTTTCCCCCATATATAGGACATGTACGGTTGGCCGGTAGAGTGCTTTGTTCAAAAAACGCTTCTTCCAAGAAACCAATTTACACCACTTCAGGTGCTTAAATTGGCAAGGTATTTCAAGCGTGATTACCATTAAATTTGTGTTTACGGCGCAGGTTTTCAATATTATATTCATGTTCATATCAAGTAAGAGAGAAGGGTTCTTCCAAGAAATCGACCTTGACCCTTGAAAGTCGGTCAGGTGACGTAGGTATGATTGTTAAATTCATACAACGAAATGTGGACTTCTTTGGGATATTTCTTCAGTCTAGTGACGCATTGTGGTGGATCGTTAAATAGGTCGAGGTCCACTTAAGGGGAATAAATTTATATTTAAAGTCGGTCTTTTAAATTGTTTTTGTTCAAGAAGTAGACCCCATTCCCAGAGATTAGATCGATCCAACTAGATCGACCTAACTCCTTGGGGGTTCACGCTAAATAGCTGTCAGCCGAGCGGGCACGAAAGTTAATTATCCCCTTACAGCTTGTAGTAGGCGGGACGGACATTTAAGCCGGATTATCTGACAGTAATCTAGTGAGACTCGCAACGGGGATAGATCGATCTAAAATCTATGGGAATGCGCCCGTAGTTTCTTTTTTTTGTGCCACATGTACTAGCCTATTGAGGTTGAGACCTGAGGGTTATTTTGAATCACGTCATCTGGTACACGACAGCATGATGATAATATTGTTCTTTAAAAAGGTAAATTGCTACCTTTGTTTGAGATATTTCTTCCCAGAAATTGACTCATAGTCGATAGAAGGTGGGCCAATCGTGTGGGCGAGACGCAGCAGCTGCTTAGACCCAGTTCCCATACCTAGATCGATCTAGCAGGATCGACCCATCTCCGATTGGTTTCTCGCTAAATTTTACTCAGCTAAAGCGGATGTGAGGGGTATTGAACTATCGTTTAGCAGCTGCACTAGGCGTGCAAGACATCTAAGCCGCTTAAGCTGAATGCAATCTAGCGAGAATCCCTTCGGAGATGGATTGTTTCTGCTAGATCGATCTAAGTATGGGAATACGGTCTATGTCGTACATGTAAATCTTGTGCATGTAACACAGATAATAATAATAATAATAATAATAATAATAATAATTATAGTGATAATAAGTTCTGTTAATCATAAATAAACTTAAAAGCTATTGATAAAACTTAGTTTAATTTAGAATTAAAAAAGATTGAAAACCAACACAAGAAAGTATGGAAGCGTGTAAAGGTCACAACACCAACACCAAAAACAAAACTCACAACACCAACACCAAAAACAAATGCCACTACTCTTTAATTTGCAACCTTGACAAGTGACTGATTGTTCTTCAATGACTACTGAAGTCGGTCAAGTTGGAATAGTAACTTGGTGCAAACATAATACATATGATTCTCAAGTTTGCTACTAGCCTCTGTGTTTAAAATGCTCCCCGTGCTTGTTGTTGCCAAAACAACCAAAGTAACCATATTTTCTATCCTATTTTAGTTTTTACNTGGTGGTGTTGTGACCCTTACACGCTTCCATAAGAAAGGATTAAAACTACTACAAGTATTGCGCGAAAAACAGAAGTGGACGAAAATCCCCCATCCCCACCCTGTTTCCTGTGCTTTCGACTGACGCGTTTGATAATAATGTGACTAGACACTTTGACGTGGGTTTGAATGGCAAATAGGCAAGTGTGATGCAAGAGAAGTCACAAAAACGACTCTTAATTGTGGGAATGGGCGTATCATACATGTATATTTGCTTAACGTAGGTGAAATTAGTGGATTCATGAATAAATGATAAAAAAACTAGTAAAATAATGAATGAATAAATAACCAATAAAATTAGTAGTAGAAAACTACTTAAACTAAATAGTATTTTAGATTAAGAAGTTTGAGAACCCACTCAATAAAAGATTTAAATTACTACAAAAGTATTATACAAAGTATATAAATTAAGTGACGCATATATATTTATTGCTCCCATCATTTATTTCATCAATCCAACACATAATCAAAAATTATTGATTAAATGAGGAAAGCATTCAAGAAATAGTTCCATAACAAGTCAGAGTAAGAAACGGAAAAAGTGGACTTATCATTGTTCTCTTTTTAGAAAATAACAATACAATGTTAGGCAAATGCTAGTTAATTACATGTTATTTTCAAAAATAGTAATAATAATGTCTTCACCGTTATAAACGTTTTCGAGATACATTTATTGCCTCACATACTTAAGATAAGACTGATATTTTTTACTTAACATTTCCATCTTTTCTGGAATAGTGCCACTTGACAAGAGAATTCTCAATTTGTGAACTTACAAAAGTTTCGGAGAAGGCATATGTACATCCACGCACACGCACTATCTGTAACATTCTTAATAATGATAATAATAATAATAATATTTCTTTATGGTCTAAAATCCAACGTATGTTCAATAGACTTTACAGAATTTATAAAATTCACAATTAAAAGGAAAAAAATATTAATGGTCATAAGATGAATAGAAGGAAAGTGATATATAGGTAAAAAATAGATATATATATAATGGATAAGAGGTGAAAATTAAAACTATGAACTAAGAAACGATTATTCGTAAAAAGTATTCTGAAAAGAATTTAAAAATAATATTGCTTAAAAGGGTAGGTTTTACTTTTCTCTTTAATAAGTCCAGGGTCTACAATTTGCCTAAGATTGATGGGTAAATTATTCCAATCTCTAGGTGCTGCAATTTTAAAAGCTTTGTCACCGTAATGGCAACAATCATGCCTTACAAGCCTTCTTAAATGCACCAACGCGTCTATCAGGGAAAACACCAATTTCTTTTTAAAATATAAACATACATGTTATGATACCAGGCCTGTAGCCATCAATTTCAAAAGGGGGGGGGAGGGGCTTTTCTGAAAAAGTGGTCCTTTTTACCACGACACCTTTGTGTACCTAGATAAAATTTTACCTGCATAGAGGGTACTCTCTACCAAGGCGACAGATTGATTTTCCACAGATATTCATAGGTATTTCTCTAGATAAATAGACGGTCATTTTGGTCTGTTGTCAACAGAGAGGGGACCTTTTCCCAGCAAAAAAGGGGGATGCTTTCGAACACCTCCGACCCTAAAATATTACGTTGTTTTGAAAAGTGGAGAATGTTTTTGTCTCTCCGGTCCACGAAGCGATCCAGGAATTCAAGAGAATTAATTCAGCAAGAATATTTCGATCAGATATCGAAGCAGTCCAATTTCATTGTCATTATGTGCTGATTCTGTTTGGAATTGTTATTCATATGAAATCCTTTGCATCACTAGTTCCTGTGAAGGTTGCGCTTTCTAAATAATGATGCAGGCACTGGACGTCTGGCGTCTAGCCTGAAGGCGGCTTTCGTAACAGAAACTCTCAATCGGATCGTTGAAGTTACGCTCAATCCACGACATCTTGAAGCACATGATTTTTTGCACTTGTTTGCGCTCACCGCCGATAAAAATGTTGTCGGAGACAACGAAGGTGTGGCTCACGGTGCTGAGCTCGTAAAACTCGTTACCGGAATTAATGCACATTTCGTCGCTGTGGAAAATGCATTTGTTGATCAATTTATCGGGACTAATGAGGCGGCAGAGTGTCAGTAATTCGCGGGTCTCTTCGTTCGACAAGCTTCCGTAGTTCTGATAATCCCTCAGGCGCTGGAGTTCCCCGGAACCGTCCAAGTTAATCACGGTGCAAATGCAGTTAAGATAGTACATCAACTTGGCTTTGGGGTTGTCGGGGACGGAGCACGTCGCACCAGTCTTCTTCAACCCAATCTGGAGTCTTCCCATAGCAGCCGCCATTTCTGATTTGGCCAGTTAACTGTTTCAAATATTTCTAATGTGTTTTAAATGTGAATTAACTTTCTTCTGATATAGTTAAAAAAGATCCGAAAACAAATTTTAAATGTACGCTCCCTCCTGACATCACAGTTATAAAAAGATCCGAAAACAATACTATTGTTATTGAAGGATCGACGCAAAAGCCTTGGCATCTATTCAGTCTCACACTATTTATTAATGAAAGGGCAGTGTTTACAAAGGATGCCACCAGAAAGGTCTACAACTGTATTAGTAGGTTTGTTGGAACCCTTTTAGCCCCGAAATATCTTGTATACATTAGACCGGTATGTCATATATATATATATATATATATATATATATATATATATATATATATATATATATATATATAGGCCTAAATACCGTCGCTATACATTTTCTATCCAATGTAAGCTTCCAAGTTCATGTTTACTCCAGTTTATTCGTATACCGTTGTATATTATTCAAGGGAGTGTTTTGATAAAAATGCTTCTTCCAACATCAATAAGTGAAGTGTTTTGACAAGGTGTATTAAGCGTGATTGTTATTAAATATTTGTTTACGACGCAGGTACTCTGT